CTTAGCTGAAGAATGCCGGTGTATGAAATTCATCTCGAAGAGGAATATATAAGTGAATTCTAGGTGTCTTGTTGGCTACAGCAGCAGTGATGTGGAGGAACATGAGCAAACTCTGCAGTTGTGCCCAATGTTGCAGTATTGTATGATTTGTGATGGGCAATTTATGGGCCAAGCTGATGATTCTGCATTGTTACACACTCGTGGAGGGAGCAACGTGTTGCACCCGATGGCGTGAACATTGTCTTAGCGGATTTCTCTGACTGGTCTGCGGCTTTGTCAGACATGTTGTTTTGGAGGTTCCAAATGATTCTACAGTGTCATGCACCACGCTGAGAAAGTTCCGACTAAGTGCTGAGACATGTTTCATCACCATCTTTCGTATGATGGACCTGCATTGGTGCATTGCAAACATGAGAGTCTATCATAAGAGCATGTACATGGAAGAGGAATAAGTGAATTCTAGGTGTCTTGTTGGCTACAGCAGCAGTGATGTGGAGGAACATGAGCAAACTCTGCAGTTGTATCCAATGTTGCAGTATTGTATGATTTGTGATTCGTGATGGGGAATTTATGGGCCAAGCTGATGATTCTGCATTGTTACACACTCGTGGAGGGAGCAACGTGTTGCACCCGATGGCGTGAACATTGTCTTAGCGGATTTCTCTGAATGGTCTGCGGCTTTGTCAGACATGTTGTTTTGGAGGTTCCAAATGCTTCTACAGTGTCATGCACCACACTGAGAAAGTTCCGACTAAGTGCTCAGACATGTTTCATCACCATCTTTCGTATGATGGACCTGCATTGGTGCATTGTAAACATAAGAGTCTATCATAAGAGCATGTACATGGAAGAGGAATAAGTGAATTCCAGGTGTCTTGTTGGCTACAGCAGCAGCGATGTGGAGGAACATGAGCAAACTCTGCAGTTGTGTCCAATGTTGCAGTATTGTATGATTTGTGATGGGCAATTTATGGGCCAAGATGATGATTCTGCATTGTTACACACTCGTGGAGGGAGCAACGTGTTGCACCCGATGGCGTGAACATTGTCTTAGCGGATTTCTCTGACTGGTCTGCGGCTTTGTCAGACATGTTGTTTTGGAGGTTCCAAATGATTCTACAGTGTCATGCACCACGCTGAGAAAGTTCCGACTAAGTGCTGAGACATGTTTCATCACCATCTTTCGTATGATGGACCTGCATTGGTGCATTGCAAACATGAGAGTCTATCATAAGAGCATGTACATGGAAGAGGAATAAGTGAATTCTAGGTGTCTTGTTGGCTACAGCAGCAGTGATGTGGAGGAACATGAGCAAACTCTGCAGTTGTATCCAATGTTGCAGTATTGTATGATTTGTGATTCGTGATGGGGAATTTATGGGCCAAGCTGATGATTCTGCATTGTTACACACTCGTGGAGGGAGCAACGTGTTGCACCCGATGGCGTGAACATTGTCTTAGCGGATTTCTCTGAATGGTCTGCGGCTTTGTCAGACATGTTGTTTTGGAGGTTCCAAATGCTTCTACAGTGTCATGCACCACACTGAGAAAGTTCCGACTAAGTGCTCAGACATGTTTCATCACCATCTTTCGTATGATGGACCTGCATTGGTGCATTGTAAACATAAGAGTCTATCATAAGAGCATGTACATGGAAGAGGAATAAGTGAATTCCAGGTGTCTTGTTGGCTACAGCAGCAGCGATGTGGAGGAACATGAGCAAACTCTGCAGTTGTGTCCAATGTTGCAGTATTGTATGATTTGTGATGGGCAATTTATGGGCCAAGATGATGATTCTGCATTGTTACACACTCGTGGAGGGAGCAACGTGTTGCACCCGATGGCGTGAACATTGTCTTAGCGGATTTCTCTGACTGGTCTGTGGCTTTGTCAGACATGTTGTTTTGGAGGTTCCAAATGATTCTACAGTGTCATGCACCACACTGAGAAAGTTCCGACTAAGTGCTGAGACATGTTTCATCACCATCTTTCGTATGATGGACCTGCATTGATGCATTGCAAACATGAGAGTCTATCATAAGAGCATGTACATGGAAGAGGAATAAGTGAATTCCAGGTGTCTTGTTTGCTACCGCAGCAGTGATGTGGAGGAACATGAGCAAACTCTGCAGTTGTGTCCAATGTTGCAGTATTGTATGATTTGTGATGGGCAATTTATGGGCCAAGCTGATGATTCTGCATTGTTACACACTCGTGGAGGGAGCAACGTGTTGCACCCGATGGCGTGAAGATTGTCTTAGCGGATTTCTCTGAATGGTCTGCGACTTTGTCAGACATGTTGTTTTGGAGGTTCCAAATGATTCTACAGTGTCATGCACCACACTGAGAAAGTTCCGACTAAGTGCTGAGACATGTTTCATCACCATCTTTCGTATGATGGACCTGCATTGATGCATTGCAAACATGAGAACATGTACATGGAAGAGGAATGATTGAAGTCCAGGGTTCTTGACTTCTATGGCCGCAGTGATGGATGGACCTGCATTGGTGTATTGGGGTATATAGTGTATTGTGTAGAGCAGGTTGGTAGCGTAAAAGCATATCAGGATTTCTTCCTTCTTGATGGCAGAGCATAGGTGAAAGTGGTGACAGTTCTTAGGTCTTCCTGCTTTTGCTGGTATCCAATGCATTTCCTCCTGAAATTGTTTTCCTCTTGCCTGAGCTCTTTAATTCACAGTCCTGTTACTCACTATGGGTGATAGGATGACTTGACAAGAGCAGACCGTTCTTTGGGCCATGTGTAACACCTGGGAATGTGCTTCACCATCTCAGGGGTATAGGGCGGCTTCAAACACTTGCGTGGGATGTGTAGAGCAGGTTGGTAGCGTAGAAGCATATCAGGACTCATTACATCTTGAAGGCAGAGCATAGGTGAAAGTGGTGACAGTTCTTAGGTCTTCCTGCTTTTGCTGGTATCCAATGCATTTCCTCCTGAAGTTGTTTTCCTCTTGCCTGAGCTCTTTAATTCACAGTCCTGTTACTCACTATGGGTGATAGGATGACTTGACAAGAGCAGACCGTTCTTTGGGCCATGTGTAACACCTGGGAATGTGCTTCACCATCTCAGGGGTATAGGGCGGCTTCAAACACTCGGGTGGGATGTGTAGAGCAGGTTGGTAGCGTAAAAGCATATCACGACTTATTCCTTCTTGAAGGCAGAGCATAGATGAAAGTGGTGACAGTTCTTAGGTCTTCCTGCTTTTGCTGGTATCCAATGCATTTCCTCCTGAAGCTGTTTTCCTCTTGCCTGAGCTCTTTAATTCACAGTCCTGTTACTCACTATGGGTGATAGGATGACTTGACAAGAGCAGACCGTTCTTTGGGCCATGTGTAACACCTGGGAATGTGCTTCACCATCTCAGGGGTATAGGGCGGCTTCAAACATCCCGGTCGGATTTGTAGAGCAGGTTGGCAGCGTAGAAGCATATCAGGACTCATGACATTTTGAAGGCAGAGCATAGATGAAAGTGGTGACAGTTCTTAGGTCTTCCTGCTTTTGCTGGTATCCAATGCATTTCCTCCTGAAGCTGTTTTCCTCTTGCCTGAGCTCTTTAATTCACAGTCCTGTTACTCACTATGGGTGATAGGATGACTTGACAAGAGCAGACCGTTCTTTGGGCCATGTGTAACACCTGGGAATGTGCTTCACCATCTCAGGGGTATAGGGCGGCTTCAAACATCCCGGTCGGATTTGTAGAGCAGGTTGGTAGTGTAGAAGCATATCAGGACTTATTCCTTCTTGAAGACAGAGCATAGGTGAAAGTGGTGAAAGTTCTTGGGTCTTCCTGCTTTTGCTGGTATCCAATGCATTTCCTCCTGAAGTTGTTTTCCTCTTGCCTGAGCTCTTTAATTCACAGTCCTGTTACTCACTATGGGTGATAGGATGACTTGACAAGAGCAGACCGTTCTTTGGGCCATGTGTAACACCTGGGAATGTGCTTCACCATCTCAGGGGTATAGGGCGGCTTCAAACACGCGGGTGGGATGTGTAGAGCAGGTTGGCAGCGTAGAAGCATATCAGGACTCATGACATTTTGAAGGCAGAGCATAGATGAAAGTGGTGAAAGTTCTTGGGTCTTCCTGCTTTTGCTGGTATCCAATGCATTTCCTCCTGAAGTTGTTTCCCTCTTGCCTGAGCTCTTTATTTCACAGTCCTGTTACTCACTATGGGTGATAGGATGACTTGACAAGAGCAGACCGTTCTTTGGGCCATGTGTAACACCTGGGAATGTGCTTCACCATCTCAGGGGTATAGGGCGGTTTCAAACACTCGGGTGGGATGTGTAGAGCAGGTTGGTAGCGTAAAAGCATATCAGGACTCATTACATCTTGAAGGCAGAGCATAGATGAAAGTGGTGACAGTTCTTAGGTCTTCCTGCTTTTGCTGGTATCCAATGCATTTCCTCCTGAAGCTGTTTTCCTCTTGCCTGAGCTCTTTAATTCACAGTCCTGCTACTCACTATGGGTGATAGGATGACTTGACAAGAGCAGACCGTTCTTTGGGCCATGTGTAACACCTGGGAATGTGCTTCACCATCTCAGGGGTATAGGGCGGCTTCAAACATCCCGGTCGGATTTGTAGAGCAGGTTGGCAGTGTAGAAGCATATCAGGACTCATTGCATTTTGAAGGCAGAGCATAGGTGAAAATGGTGACAGTTCGTAGGTGTTCCTGCTTTTGCTGGTACCCAATGCATTTCCTCCTGAAATTGTTTTCCTCTTGCCTGAGCTCTTCAATTCACAGTCCTGTTACTCACTATGGGTGATAGGATGACTTGACAAGAGCAGACCGTTCTTTGGGCCATGTGTAACACCTGGGAATGTGCTTCACCATCTCAGGGGTATAGGGCGGCTTCAAACACGCGGGTGGGATGTGTAGAGCAGGTTGGTAGCGTAAAAGCATATCACGACTTATTCCTCCTTGAAGGCAGAGCACAGGTGAAAATGGTGACAGTTCTTAGGTGTTCCTGCTTTTGCTGGTATCCAATGCATTTCCTCCTGAAGCTGTTTTCCTCTTGCCTGAGCTCTTCAATTCACAGTCCTGTTACTCACTATGGGTGATAGGATGACTTGACAAGAGCAGACCGTTCTTTGGGCCATGTGTAACACCTGGGAATGTGCTTCACCATCTCAGGGGTATAGGGCGGCTTCAAACACGCGGGTGGGATGTGTAGAGCAGGTTGGTAGCGTAAAAGCATATCAGGACTTATTCCTTCTTGAAGGCAGAGCATAGATGAAAATGGTGACAGTTCTTAGGTGTTCCTGCTTTTGCTGGTATCCAATGCATTTCCTCCTGAAGTTGTTTTCCTCTTGCCTGAGCTCTTCAATTCACAGTCCTGTTACTCACTGTGGGTGATAGGATGACTTGACAAGAGCAGACCGTTCTTTGGGCCATGTGTAACACCTGGGAATGTGCTTCACCATCTCAGGGGTATAGGGCGGCTTCAAACATCCCGGTCGGGTATAAAGGTTGGAATGGCAAGGAACTCTGTTCCACATTGTTCCAAATTGAGGCTTGGGCTATATTCGACTTGGATGAACCGGTTGAAGTGAGCATTGATGATCAGCATTTGGTGCATCACGGTTTAAAAAACACCCAGTAAGCATTGATTCAATGCAACCGCTTGAGTGAGATATACCAGTTTTAATCTCTGAATCCCAAGAACTAGGCTAAATTCCCGCATGATTGGTTCAATTCCCAGTTTTCATCGTTTGAATTTCCACATTCATTACTTAAACAGATAGAATCAGATGCACACCATTTTCTTTTAGTGGTAAACTTGGTACACTTCCCATTTTTTCATCAGTTTTTTTTTGGAAGATCCCAGGGCTTTTTTAGGCCATCGAAACGCCAGGCCTGCAGGTCCCCCATGGCTTCTGCAGACTGTGGAGATGCAGGAAAACGTTTCGTTCGATGGTGGGATGACCATCGTGGGATGACCATACCATACCCCATATTTTTGGGTTTCCGATCCATGGGGGTACCCTCCAGTCCTCACCCATTTTAGATTGGAATTTTCCAATTTCCATAAACCATCCAGCTATTGGGGTACCCCCATGTATGGAAACCCAAAAAATACAGATCCATATAGCACATTGTTAAATATAGGTTCCGCAGATGTTCCCATGATATTCGTAGTTTGCTGGCGAAAGCACCGTTACAAGGTCCCATTTGCATGTAACTTGACCATGGGTACGGCTGTGGCTTGAACTTCTCAAGATGGTGCAGGTGTGAGACAAGACCTGACGTTTGGAATGGACTGACCATGACTGACCCATTCCATGGTGGGGGTTTCACCCCATTTGTAAATGGCGGAAATTCTGCGGGAAATATCTGGCTTATCCACTTTCCACCTGGAATAAAGATCCAAGGTGATGTGAGAAACACTGAACATGTCTACTTGTTGGTTTCATTACAGTATCCTACGAGTTTGACTGAAAGAACACCTTGATGGATGTCGTATTTCCTTTCATGCTCAAGTCCACGAAAGGTATGGGTCTTAATTCCGGTTTGCCGCCATATTTGTTGTTACTGGGGGTGAGCCATCTCGGATTACTAGCTGGCCTGGGTATTACCATTTGGAACCAAAGACAAATTTCAGAACAACTGGACGGGCTGTCAGAATTGGTCGCGACCCATCACCGAGTTGAGCCAGGTGGGGGTGGTCCGGGAAAGCCGGACTCTGGTGTTTCTTCGGCATTTGATCGAGGGCCACGGAAGTCACTAGAGGACGTTTCTAGAGTGGAGACTGAGTGGAATAGTGGTTCAGCTGCTGGATTTTCTCTTGTGGGTGCCTTGGTTAGTACGTTGACTTTTTTGTTGGCTATTGGCTGGTGGTTCAACAGGAGGCGGCAGGTTGTTGAGACAGAGGCATCACCCAGGTCCCCGGGCTATCACAGGGAAGTGGCCCAACGACAGTTGGCTGAGTTGAGGCTGAGAAAGTATGGCTTTGGTCAGTCGAGAGGTGTTGGTGGAGTATGATGTAGGTGGTCCACGTTTGTGGCATGAACGTCATGTGCTCGAACATATACAAGGAGACAACTATGTAGTGGTCACGCCAGACCGTGACATATTCTCAGAAGAGCTTGGCTTATTGAACCCTGACATTAGACATATCCGTGTGAGGCCTGGTCCAGGTATTGTGCCAGGTGGCGTGAACCCTGCACAGATCTATGGGTTGCCGGTTTTTACTGCTGCTGAGATGGTGCAATTTCAGGCCGATGCTCAACGGGTCGTGGCTCAGGGACGTGTGAACCCTGGCGCTGCGCCGGGCATTGCAGTAGCCCCAGTTCTTCTTGGGCCAGTTGCAGTGGCGGCTAATTTGGGGGCTGCTGTCGAAGAATACCCTAGTGGGACTCTGAAGTGGCTAGCCGCTGAATGTACAGCGGTTTTTGGCTATGGGCAAGAAGTCCTGGGCGTTGCAGCGGCTATGGTCAGAGGCGCAAAGGAGGTGCACATCCTTGGGTCAGAGCGAGTTTTTGTTGAGTGCGTGGATGGCGCTGACCGACATCAGTTTATGCAGAGACCGGCAAGATGTGATCTGAGGGTTTTGCCTCAGGAGCTGAATGCCTTAGGACAACCTGAGAGGTCTTTGAAGGAGATCGCTACAGCCTGCAAGGAGTCAGATGTGAAGTGGACCTTGAGCGGTCCCAGAACCGCAAAGTGGTGCATCAACTATCTGGCAGTGGAGGGTTTAGGCTTTGAGGGGCATCATGAGCGCCTCCGACAGGTTACAAAGGCTGACGCGTCATCCTGGGGCATCCAGGAACATTTCCAGGTATCAATGTCACTACGACAGGCTTTGCTGGTTGATCAAGTTGATGGATGCAACATGCTCAGTGTCGAGATTCAGTTCCGACGGCTGCAGACCATTGAGTTTTCTTACAGTGAAAAGGCAAGAGAGCTTGAGGCAAAGGCAGTTGGTGGGCAGCTGTCGCTTGAGGAACAGACAACATTCGGTGGGGTGACTCGGCAGTTTTCGACGTTGATGATATGTCCTGACTTGCTGGATCATGTCAAGAGTGAGATGGAGAAGGAGGCATCGCTGGCAAAGAATTTGAGGAAAGCACGTGAAGAACGCGAGAATGCAAGGAAGTCTCGCAAAGGAAAGCCGGAAGAGACATGACCCATGCCTCCGGAGGTGGTCTTGGCCCGGGGCCCCCTCCTGTGCATCAAGGGCACATTGAGGGTCGGGGAACGTCCAGAGATGTTTTCCCTTTGCCTTCTTTATAGGTTTCTGCAAGGCCTTCTGGGGCTCTGTCGCGTGGATGTCGGCAGAGGTCGGGAAGACGAATTCATTTTGAGGAGGAGGTGCGCCATACAGCTGATGCACTGAATCACATGTACGAAGGTACATTGAAGACTGGCTATGGGGAGACCGGAAAACTTGCTGGTAGCCTTAGTACTGGTCAAGAGGCAGTTTTTGAATTCATTAGACGTTCAGTGAGAGATCTCGGTGCTCCTACTGGGATTTCTGGCCCAGAAGCCTTAGAAGCGCTTCGGGTTGCGGAGGGGTATGAAGGTTTGCCAACTACATGTCCCCTTGGCTCCTATGAACCCGCCTTGGTGTCACTGCCGTCTGGAGAGGTAAACCCTGTCTCTCTGGCCTCGCTGTGGGGATCAGACGGGCAAAAGATTGTGGAGACCTTCACTCATAGTCGAGTTCACGGTCCAGCAGAGGCACAGGCTAGGCTGATCGAGTGTGGAGTGGAGCGAGTCTATCAAGACCCCAAGTTGAACAACACCAAGATGTATGCTCATTTTCTTCATAGGCTCCATTCTCTCAACCTCATTGAGTTCACCACAGAGGCTCCCACTGAGACTGTTGGTTTGTTTTTCGTTAAGAAAAAGCAAGGTAAGCTACGGCTTATCATGGACTGCCGGCGTTCTAATGCTTGGTTTTGTGAGCCTGAAAAGGTATCCCTGGCGACCGGAGATGCGTTGGGTAGGCTGGAGATCCCTGAAGGGTGTGAACTGCACATGGCCAGTGCAGACCTTGCCAACGCGTTTTACACTTTGGAGCTTCCTACTGACCTGAGACAATTTTTTGGTTTGCGGGGGGTCTCGGCAAAGCAATTGAGGCAGGCTGGCATAGAGAGCAGCGAGTGGGGGGCAAAGACTTGGGTCTACCCTAGAGTGGGAGTAGTGCCAATGGGATGGGCTTGGGCACTTTGGTGGTGCCAAACTATCAGTGAGCGCATCTGTGAGCAGAATGGCCTTGACGAGGGTTCTCGGCTCCGTGACGGTGACCCAGTCCCGCGGGGCAATTTCTGGCATTTGCAGTACGTTGATAATCTACATGTCATTGGCACTGACAAAGGTGAGGTAGAGCGCAGGTTTTGGGCTGCGGTGGAAGGGCTGAGGGCCGCAGGGCTCACGGTCCACGAGATTGAGGTTGGTGAGGGTGCTTCTCAGATTTTAGGATGGGAACTGAGCCACAGTGGGTATCTGCGACCCACTCAGAAGAGAATGTGGAGGCTGAGAATGGCTATCAGAGAGATCGTCAAGCGAGGAAGGGCCTCAGGGCAACAGTTGGAGCGGCTAGTCGGGCACATGACTTTTGTGTCCTTGTGTAAGCGTGAGGCACTGTCATGTTTTGGTGAGATATACACTTTCATCAAGCAGCACTACATGCATGTTTCCCCCCTCTGGAAAAGCGTGCGGTCAGAGCTCTTGAAGTGGGATGGTATATTACCGTTGGTATATTGTAATCTACATGCTTCATGGAGTGACGATATTTACGCAGTTGACGCTTCGGAGTGGGGTTTGGGTGTGGTGCAGTCAAAGGGTACATGGCAGAATCATCAGTTTTTGGGAAGCTACATTGAGCGGTGGCGTTTCAAAGATTCAGAGGCAAAAGATCCCAGAAATTATTTGATGGTTTTGGATGAGGCCACAGGTGAGGTTTTACAGCATAGTAGGGAAGAGAGCGGCGTTGTTTTTGACATCCCTTCAAAGCAGTTCAAGACCGTTGGCTTTGAGACCGTCAACAAACACTGGCAGGTTGTGGTGCGGCATCAGTGGAAGAGGGCAGACTCAATGCCTGTCTACGAGGCGCGGGCGACCCTGTTTGCACTGAGGCACCACTTCAGGAGTTTGAGAAACTATGGGACTAAGCTGGTTGTTTTAACTGACTCAATGACTGCTGCAGTATCGTATGATCGGGGTAGGGCTAATGGTTTTAGACTGCGAAGGGTGCTACAACAATCAGCTGCTTTACTTTTGGCCACTGGTTCAAGTTTACGAACACGCTGGGTGCCGTCAGAATGGAACCCAGCCGATGCAGTGAGTAGGGGGCTCTGGGCCCCTAGTGTCCCAAAAAGGGAATTCTGGAAGGATGATACACCGACAATTGGGGATCCAGGTCGGATGGGACAACAAGAAGCAAAAGTCAAACAAAATAGTCAAGCAACAGAAGAGTGTTGTAACTCCTGTGACGCATGCAAAAGAGGCCCCTTTGACTTGGGACATAGAGATGGAGGTTGGAAACCCGCGAAGCAAGAAGCCTCGTCGGGCGGCACGGCGGCAGCTGGTGAGACAACAGCAGCCAACTCAGACCCTCCGGCAAAGTTCTGTGAACAAGAGAACCTTGCAGAAATACCAGCAGATGTGGGAGGTTTTTCAACAGTGGTGTCGGCGGAGGCTCACAGAGAACACGCCTCTCAAGGTGATAGATCAGGTGCTCACGTCTTACCTAGAATATTTGTACCTGGAGGGCGAGGACATGAGCACTGCCAACTACGCAACAGCGGCCCTAGTGTTTTTTCTCCCCAAGTGCAAGAGTTTGTCCAACTTACCCAAGGCACAGCAGTCCATGAAGGGGTGGCGAAAATTGTGCCCTCCAAGAAGTCGCATGCCCGTTCCATACGAAGTCACTTGTCTTTTAGCTCTACATGCAATGAAATTGGGGTGCCCTCAGATAGCCCTGGCAGTCATGCATGTACTTGCGCCCCAGCGAAGCTTTCAGGTTGAGAGTGCAGGACATTGTGAAGCCGGTTCGAAAGGGCAGCCGGGGATATCGGCACTACTCCATCCTCCTTCATCCAATGGAGGAGGGGGTCCCTTCGAAGACTCTGCAGAGGGACGAGATGCTGGCACTAGATTTAGAGTATCAGAAGTGGCTTGGTCCGGCACTGGTCAAAACATTGAGGCTGGATCACAGACAGAAGGAACACTTGGCTTTCAATATCACCCAACAGCAGGTGATAGACTTCATGGGCGAGCATTGGGAAGCATTGGGCTTGAAAACCATAGGAGAGCCACACATGTACCGACTTCGACACGGAGGCGCTTCACACGATGCGGTTTGTCATTATCGGCCCCTAGCCGAGATTCAAACCAGGGGCCGGTGGATGAGTTTGAAGAGCGTGCGAAATTACGAGAAGGGAAACCGTCTCATGCAACTTTTCGGCAGCCTGAGCCCGGACGTTCAGCGAAGAGCCACCGAGGCCGCAATAGAGTTGCCAAGGATGTTCCGATGCCGGCTTTGAGTCCACAAAGAACCCTGCTCTTTGCAGTGTTCATAGAGATTTTTTCTGGCTGTGGGCGTCTTGGTAAGAGCATACATCGTGTTTGTGCATGGCCTGTTTTGCTATGGGATATTTCTTTTGGGGAGAACTATGATCTGACCAAACGGGCAAATCAACAACTGATTTTACATTGGATTTCAAGCGGGCAAATCCGTGCTGGACATCTAGGGACGCCATGCAACACTTTTTCACGAGCAAGAGATAGGCCTGGCGGCCCACCTAGATTGCGCTCAGACAGTCAGCCACTGGGCCTTGCTGATCTTCGCACCGTCGATCAATTGAAGGTGCGAGCTGGGAATGTGCTGATGTGGTTTTCATGTCGAGTGCTACACATGGCGAGGCGTTTGCGTTTGCCTTTCACCCTTGAGAATCCTTTAAGATCTAGATTGTGGCTGTGCCCTTCAGTGCGGCAGCTCATGAGATGCCCTAATACATGGGTTCAAGACATTACTTTTTGTGCTTTTGGAACAAAGTGGAAGAAACCTACCAGGTTTTTCTCTGTTTGCCTTGACCTGCATTTTTTGGCTCCTTACACATGTCGCAGCAGCAGGCGTGGTTTGTGTCAGTACAGTGGGTTGCAACATATTCCATTAGCTGGAGTAAATGAGAGGGGTCAGTTTTTGACCAAAATTGCTGAACCATATCCCTGGAAGCTTACACGTGTGCTCGCGCAAGCCTTCAGAAACACAGAGCTTGCGGCCATATCCATGCAATTCCAAAAGTACCTCTAAACGGCTGCACCAGAGGGTCCAACAAACTTGGGCAATGTTGGGCAAAACTGGGCATGAGAAATCTTCTGTTTTAGAGTGGTGGTGGAAGTTTCGGTTGGATGGTTGGCGCAGAGCTTTGTGGTGGATGCTGGTGACCTCCGAAGGAGGTGCAGTGCTCGCATGATATCTGGCCCTGGCAGATGAAAAGGGGCGAGTGGTGTCATTACAGTATCCTACGAGTTTGACTGAAAGAACACCTTGATGGATGTCGTATTTCCTTTCATGCTCAAGTCCACCCCCCACACCCGCCACGACTTGGGGCATGAGAAATCTTCTGTTTTAGAGTGGTGGTGGAAGTTTCGGTTGGATGGTTGGCGCAGAGCTTTGTGGTGGATGCTGGTGACCTCCGAAGGAGGTGCAGTGCTCGCATGATATCTGGCCCTGGCAGATGAAAAGGGGCGAGTGGTGTCACCATAGTGATCAAATGGGATTCCACCAGCAGGGCGAACATGGGGATGTCGGATAAACTTTCAGACCATGCTAATTACAATCATATATTTATAATCATATAATATGCATATATATATAAAATCAAATATAGTATATTATAATCATATATTTATATTTGCACAGTTGTGCAACCCTTGGCTATGTGCTTATTTGGGTTCCTATTGCTACGGGAAATCTATTGGGTCTGGCAGGCCACCATCCACAACGAACCGATGGCTCAAGGCTAGCCGGATCCAGTTGAAAGTCATGCATTGCCAGGCTTCCATCGACAGCTACTAGCCAGTTGTCTTTTGATACTTGGGGGTGCATGTTGGTTACTAAGTGGAATCCCAAGTGGGCAAGAACCATACGAAATAACGAGCCGCGATTTGTAGAATATTCCCAGTTTCACATGATAGTCAGCTGCAGATTTCTTGTTTGCAGGCGCCGCCATCCATTCACAACTTTGCCTTGTTAACAACAGAGTAGAAAACTTGCTGAAGGCATCTTTAACCATGACACCATGGGTCTAGTGACTTGTTGGGTCCATATGGTCAAGTACATTACCATATTTGGAGAATCATTCCATTTAGTAACGCGTCACTGAAAGTGCTAATCTCCCAAATTTATTAATTTACTTACTTATTTACTTAATATATTTATTTGGTTATTTATTTGTTTATTTATTTATCTATTTACTTATTCATATATTTGTTTATTAATTTATTTTTTTTATATTTGTTTATTTATTTTTTGTTTAGTAATATATGTATATATTATATATACATACACAGGGGCATTATGAACCAGGGCCATTCATCACTTACTAACTGGACATCCAAGTATGACCCATGACCAGAAGAAACAAAAGGGGCTCCATGTCACAGAGGCATAGCTGATGCCCATGTGATGTGCCTTGTGTCACACCTTGTAACTGGCCATATGGTTTGGATAATCTTTGGCGACCTCAAACGCCCTCATGATCAGACTTATGCTTAGCGGGTGAAGAAAAATGCTGTCACATCCTTTTTTTCCCAGGTATGAGTCCAGAACAATAGACACATCACAATCTGGAGGTCCCTCGTGTGCCAAATGTTGCGATGGACGCGTGCTGCCAATCTCGTGTGGCGAGCGCGAGCCAATGTGGCTTGGCAGTGCCCCAGTCCCGAGGAAAGATTAGGAACCAGCAATGACTGGGGTATGCCCGCTAGTGACCTAGTGCCTATACAACAGCCTGTATAATAGCCTACTTGGAAGTGTAGTTCCAGTTATAAGTGGATATATATATATATATATGTATATAACTATAGTTATTAGGGGTTATATCCCAACTGATGGGGTTAATGACCATGGTACCAATTTGATCCACTTTGTACTCAGCTGCACCCCCAGTTTTTTTTTTATTCCATGCCTGATTAAGGGGTATTCAGTTGGTTGTTGTCATCATCTTAGTTGATCCATTCATCCCAATTCTTTAGCCATGCATATACCAGGGTTTGAAACTCCCCTACATCATGTTATATCACTGAAAATCATTCTGCCAGATATTTGGTTTCTACAATCCGACAACTAAGGTTGAACTGCTCTGTTTTGAAGGTTGAACGGCTTGAACCAATCATCGATAACCCAAGTTCGACCCGTATCTGAATCTAGGCCCATTGGCAGCCTTGATATGGTGATCGTATGAATCAACCATTCTTGAACTGGTGATATGAATCACCTTGGATAGGTTAATCCCAGTCCCAGAACATTATACATATACATATATGCACAATATATATATAAATACGACCAAACATTGGTTTAGTATCCCATTCCCAACATATTATATACCACCATGGCCATTTAGTATTGGATCTATCCATTCGGGGGTCCATCCAAAACTGATTGGACCATTTGCAGGAACGCCCGAGGGACACTCCTGGAATTTTCCTGTTCATTTGTTTTAATTCCAGACAATTCAACTTCATTCCAAATAACTATCTTTCACTATTTTTTGTTTCGATTCGTTTGTTTTTTCTTGAATTTATTGGAATGTTTCGGATTTTTTGAAATTTTCTTTAGATTTTGAGTTTGAACCTTTTTTGAAAGGATAGCAACTTTTAGGAGTAATCCTTTTTAGGAGTAACCCAGGACTCTTTAATGAATATATAAGATATATCATCAACTTGAATATTGATAAACATAGAGATACATTACCCTCCAGTAAATCAATATAGACCCTGCAATATAGGGGTTGGAAGAATAACTTTCTCTAAAAATAGGTTATTTTCAGGGACAAAACAGCAAGTATGACTAAAAATTGGTTATTTTCGAGATAGATGGATAGATACATTTTCACTAAAAATGGTTCATTTACTGGCTAAACACCAAATATCATCGCAGTGAACTCGCCTCGCTGAAGGCCTCCTTGGCGCAGGCCGTATTAAATGGCGACGCGGCGGCCTTTGAACGGGAGGCGGAAAACACATCGACGTTGGTTTAGCCTAGGTTTTTATATGGTTTGGCAAGGGTGTTTTCATGACTAGCTGCTTGGTAGTTTCACATATTCTGAAAATAAAAAATAGGGGTTAGAAACCACAAACCAGAAAACCTGTGTATCTATATTCTATGGTATAGGTATATTTGATTGTATTTATGCATTAATACACATACATTTTCATTTGATTCATGTATATGTATATATATATGTATTTACTGTATAGTATAAATATATAAATATATTATTTATTTGACGTATTATATATATATATGATGTATAGTGTGAATATATATATATATATATTGTGATTGGTTCACAACCAGTAGCCCAAATGCTAAGGATCCACACCCAATCGCAAATGGAAGGCGGCCACACCTTTTCACCACTCAGCTTCTGCTCAATCGGAATCCAAGCAACCAAAGCTTTCCAAATGCCGGCCACGGCAAACGTCTATGGCTCAAGAGGTATTCACCTCCCTCGTTCCACCCAAGCTGACCACAGCAGACACGTCTGCGGAAATGAGTTCACATGTAGTGCACATGGTTGCTTCAAAGGAACATCACAGCAGGAAAGTGTTGGAAATTCACACTCCCAAAACATAAAAATATCAAGAGTTTTTGTTCTTTGCTTCTTGCTGTAGCCATTGCATTCTGTTGCGTGAAGTCGCACGATCTTTCAGAGTCTGATTTTCATCATGTAAGCGGTAATGACCCACTGACAGTACATGTCTAAGAAAAGCACATTCCATGATTTTGGCCAAAGCATCTGCTACTTGTGCACCGCTGTGGACCCATCTCAAGGTCACATTTTCACTCAAGAGATCCTTTATGGCTCGAGCTTGCAGTTGAGTTCGGAACTCTTGACAGCTTGGTGGGGCTGTTCTGGTCACAAGGTCATACAAGGATTTGCAGTCTGTCACAGCGATAGAGTTGATATCTTCTTTCATGGTGGGTGCAGCATAGGTTGGTGGCAACTCTTTGAGTGTTTGCTTGGACTGCTTCCAATTCAACCACGGATTTTGAAACCAACCCCAAAACAAACGTAACCATGATAATTGATCGAGTGTGGAGTTCAAAGACATTGTTTCAGCTGACAGTGTGCTGACTACCACCTTTGAATCTTCTTGCAGCCCCAGCTAATTAGATTCACTGGGCATTGGTGATTTTTGGCAATATCGGAATGTGTCCTCATGATGATCATACCTGTATGAGAATCCGGTTGTTTCTTGGATGAGAATGAGGCATCTGAAAATGCCAGGAATCTGATCTTCTGGAATTCAATTGGTTGTATTTTGATAGTTACGTCTTTGTGTTTCTTGGCATTATGAAGTACTTTGTTTGCTTCAATCAAAGTGACTATTGTGGCAGTGTTGATCGTGCTGTGGAGGTGACTCAACCGGCTTGCCAAATCAGGTCTCGTGTTCACTGACGCGTGCTGGAGTGACCCTATCAGGGCTCGGAAGCCAAGCCTTTCGTCTTCATTTACCTTGGACTCAGGTGTCTCCTTCCGGTCAGGTTTGATGTGGATCGGTTCAATCTTGGAAATGTATTTTTCTTGAGACAAGATGATGGTCTTGTTGGGAAGTTGATTCATTTCGATTCCTGTGAATGTAAAACTTTGGGACTTTTTGGCTCCAAATGGAAAAATCGCCTCGAGTTTGTTGAGCTGTTCATCAAAGAATGAATCTCCACCACACAGTCCGTCATCAACGTGCATACCTATTACTCCGGAGGGTTTGTCTGACCCTTCCTTGTACAAGAGGTAGACGCAGGGATCAAATGGAGATGGAATGAATGAGAGCTGTCGGAGTACTCGATCAAGTTCTTTGAACCACAAGTATGGTGCATCGATTAGGCCATATGCTGATTTTTCCAACCGGCAAACTTCTCGTTCCTTTAGGTTCATTGCCTTCATGAGTTCAGGACCTGGTTCAATTGCTATCGTGCGATTTTCTTGGGTCCTGCCTTGCAGAAAAGCTGCCTTGATGTCAAAGGATCTAAGGGTCCATTCTAAGGAAGCAATCATTTGAAGAATTAGCATTCTTGATTGTCGATTCAGCGTTGGGCTATCCCTTGGAATGGTCTCTAGTTCTGGGTCCATGTATCCTAGAACAACGAGTCGTGACTTGGCCTTCCGGCATTTTCCATGTCGTTGCTGTTACTTCGGATCTTCTATCGGTTTCCAGACATGGATCCAACGACATCGCAAGATCTGTTCTGGTGACAGTTGATCGCGCAGGACTTTGCTAACTGTGCCTGTTTGAAGCCAATTATTGACCTCGCTTTGCTTGGCCTTTTCGAACTCTTCCTTTTCCTCAGGTGACAGTGTGCTCAATTTTACCTCGGTTCTTTGTTTCTTCTGGTTGGTGGCTACAAAGATGAGATCCTCTATAGGCATGTAGCTGTCACTGGAAATCACCTTAGGAACTTCGAGTTCCATTCGCCAGGCATAGTTGGCACTGGATGGCACAGGCATTTCATTCACAACATCGGAGCATGTTAACAGGTCGCAGACCAGCTCATCATCATCTGGGACTGGGGTTTCAATGGCAATATTTGGGTTGTGTATGTCAGGTGAGGGTTGTTGAAATTCGAGGTCTGGTTCTTGATCTGGTTGTATGCTTGACTGGCTGTTAGGCGATGCATTCTGGTCATTCCCCTCAGGATTGTCCCCTTCTGGGTCTGACCGCATGGTTGTTGGCATTTTCTCTGGGTGTTGGGTCCATGGTCATTGGGTGAGTTGTTATTGGTGTTTATTTCATTGGGAATGTCTGGGTTAAGAACTTCGTTATGTGAGATTGGAGGACTATTGAAAATTTGGCCCATGAGGTTACCTGCATCTTGATTGGAAGGCACTATGTTGGGTATATCTTGGGCTTCGAGTGCACTCACTGGTCTCACATGTTCAGGAGCTGCTCTGACAAGTGTGCCCCGGTGTAAACAGAACACGGATGATCTGCCATCCTGCTGAATGACCTTGGCTGGGCCATTCCAACCCTTTGAGGTTTCTCCAGATCTCCAATACATTATCCATTCCCCTGGGTTATAGAATCCCCTGCTTGGTCTTTCTCGTCTTAAGGCAGCTCGGCGAAGGGCTGCCTTGTTGTCAGCCTCATGGAATGCCTTTCTAGCACTTTCTCTCATGGCGAGTTGTGTTCGGAATCTGATGCCCCAGGCGGAATCTTCATTGGCAAGGCTATGAGCAGGCAATGTGTCATTACTTGTGAGTGAGCCTGGAACTTTCAACCCTTTTCCAAACACAAGCACTTCGGGTGCAAAGCCATGACGCAAGCTACATGCATTCTTGGCAGCAGTGCAAACCATAAGAGCTCTTTGCAGGTCACTATAGTTCTCAATTGGGAAATCTTCTTGATATTTGTTGAGCTTGTGTTGCAAAACATCTCCATGTCGCTCGGTCTTACCCAATTGCCAGTGTGCTTGTGGTGGGATAATGGTAAGCTTCGTATTGAATTGTCGGAGAAACTGGTCAAATTCCGGGTTGTTGAATTCTGTAGCAGAATCTGCAATCACTTCATTTGGAGGCCCTGACCATGACAACCAACCATTTGTTATCTTTTCCATGGCCCATTCAGTTGTTCTGTTGGGGGCAATCGTGGCCGTGTGGTAATTGGTACCGTGATCAATGTAGTGATAAAAGTGGAACCGGTTGTTACTCTTGTTATGCCAGGTGATACCATCAACTGAGATTTTATCCCCAAAGTCAAGTTCTGATTTCAAAGTGGCAGGCCTTTGAATCTTCGGTGCTTGCTGTTGAACACACGTCGAACATTTCATGTCTTCAAGCCCTTTGATGAAATGACTGGGATATCCTTGTTGACGAAGCACCTGTGCAAGCACTTGTGGGGATGGGTGTCCAAGATTCTTGTGCAACCGGAGCAGGGTCTGTCTTTCATAACCTGACAGTGATTTGAACTTTGGACCCTGGTTAACATTTTCACAGTCAATCTGCAGGTTGCGGGAAAACAAATCTTGATCGGATGTCTCTGTCTTGGGTTTGCATAGTGATGGCTCGGTAGCACTGTCTTGTGCAGTCCTTTCCATCACAGGAGTCGGGTGTGTTTGTCCTTCCGGGACATTGGATTGAGACTCCTGTCTTGGCTGAATTTCGGCTGAGCTCGGTGAGATTTCTGATGGATTGCAGCCATGCACATGGGATTAAACCTCGGATTAGCTGTCGTTGGGAAAGTGTTTCCCATTCCTCCCATTCATTTTCAATCCATACCCTTTTGGTACCACGTTCGAGTGCTATGGTCTTTCTAAAGGGAGCTTCTCCATGCATCATGTTCTTGGGAGGTGCCAGCATACGTTCGGTTCCCTTGCAGGCAAGAACTCGAACCACTTTCTTTTCTCCAACTATTTCTTGGATGTTTTGGATGATCTCGGATTCAAGGATTTCTTTGCGGCCTACTCTGGGAAGTTGGCTATGGACTTTGTTACAAAGATCATATAAGTCATCCCTTTGAGTCATATTGAATTCTTTGGGATCGGATCCCTCCTTGCGTTTCCTCTTGTTGGAGTCAGAGAGTGGCTCTGATGTCTTGGCAGTGTTTGTCCGGATGCGCTTTGCTGGAGATTCTTTTGTCCCCGCACGGGTGGAAGACTGTCGTTTCACCGCTGCAGCAAACACTTCATTCCACTGAGAAAAATCTTTTGGCTCTGAACGGGTGTTGGCAAAGCTTGTTAACATCTTGGCTAGGCTGCGGGCAAACTTTCTTGGATAGTTTTCTGAAAACTCTGTTCGGTTCTTCCTGACCCCTTGGTGGACAGTTGACCCTTCCAGCACTTGATGTTATGATCGTGCCGACAAAACCTACCATGCAACTGGCTGTGCACGACATGTGACGTTGTGCGCACTTCCAAACCCTTTTGGATGAATCTGTGGTTCTCAGGATCTTTGAGTGATCCCACATTGCACATGTCAAACTTTGCACTGTATGTGTACTCATAGATCTCTCTCAGCAACGGTGTCATGAACATAAGGGACCTACGTGGCTGTTCCCAATGGAAATGCCTCTTCTGTGAGTATTGATATCTGAACAAAACAACACCAAGAGCGATCTGATACAAGTGCTGTAGCCGCTGACGATGGATGGAGTCAAAACTTGACACGGACTTTGCTGCATTGAGGTTGTTCCATGCTGACCATGGTCCACATGTTGGACTGAACCACAAATTCTGGGGCTGCCTTTGAACAATCACTTGAAACAGTTTCTCTCTGCCCTCAACGGTGGACAAATCACCCTGTTGGAAACCAAAACGTTCGGCTCTATATCCCAAATTCTTGGCTTGATGTGTGAGTTCACTTTGTGGACCGCAGAACACCTCAAGAACCTGCAGCTGTGACCCTTGACATTTCCCAGTGAGCTTGAATGCCTTCTGAAACTCTTTGGACAATTGTTGAACTAATTCTTGAAATTGCTTTTGATACTGAGACATTTGGGTGGCACTGCAACAAACATCATCACTGTCCAGGTCTCCGGCATTTTGGAGTCCCAAAGCCCATAGTGAGTCACTCATGATTGGTGTCTCAGCAGGCCTAGAATCTCGCTCACTGCTCCCTCCAACTGATTCATGCGCGACTGCAGCGCAATGATGTTCTCGGACTCCATGGCGTTCAGGGAGTATGTCGGTGGGTTCTGCATCTCTAGCCAAGCATCCTCCTCGTCGGAGATCTCTGACACCATCGCGGCTGGCTGGCTTTTCGGCTTTGGCTTGGGACGAGGAACTGGCATCTGTGAAGGCTCTGTGCGTGCCTCCATCTCGGACCTCTCGATCATGAGGGTCACGTAATGCAGCAGTTTCATGTGATCGACCTTTTGGGACGTCTCGTAGGTGCGCACAAACCATTGGAGCCACTTGGCTTCCTGATTCCAGATCTCTGCAAATGGACGGCCCAAATGTGCCTTTCCGAAGGTGATGGGTGACGATCCCATCTCTTCCAGTGACAGCGACTTGAATTTCTCCATCTCCTCGGGATCTCCCTTGGAGGAGCTGAGGCGGCTCAGGCGCTCGGATAGGCTCATGCTGGCAGTGCGGTGGTGGTGGTGATCGATCTAATGACTTCTCGGACCCAGGCTGAGACGTAAGGGCATCTCTGTCATCTTTCTGAGACATCACATTCTGTGGTGAATGTTGAGTTTCAAATTGGTTATCATGATTGTGAGTATCTTGAACATTCTTGTGAGCATCATGGAAATGGTGGTTAGAACATGCGGTTTGTTTGAGTGTTGATTGGGGCATGCGTGGCATGTGAATGGGTATGATTTGCATTCTGTGGTTGCATCATCTCGGCAGTGTTCTCGGACATGACATGTGAACTCAATCGGACTGGGCTCACCCCTGTTTCCTGGATTGACTTCGCATCCAGTGTCTCGTGCATAAAGGTCTCGGCTGAGGGCCCTGTTGTTCGTGATGATAAAGCAAGTTCATTGATGTCAACCAGGAAAAGACCTCTTCCGTTAAGATTTAAACTCACAGGTTTCTTCAGAAACGGACTGACCAGGACCTTTTGAGAAACATCTACCTGTGCCTTCAAGGTTCGGAGCAGTGAGTTGGAAAGCAACAAAGGAGTACCTCCAGGAACTATGGCAATCTTAAGACCCACTTGTCCTAAGGGTATGACAATTGCATGCTGACTGTCCAACGTGCCTTCATTTCCAAACCGGAAGGTAATCTTGCATTGACATCTGTACGTGCGCTTTCGGATCTCTGGATGCAGTTGCTGTAAAAGCTCTGGCACCTGATTGCTGCCCATGACCGTTTTGGTCGCGCCAGTATCTAGGATACCGTGCGTTCCATGGGAAGCGAACAAAATTTGCTCGTCTTTTGCAAGCTTTTCGGCAAAATGCACGGCTGTGGCTGGCTCATTCTGTCTCGGTTGCTGTCTCAGGAGACTGGCTTCACTCCTGAGCGGATGCTGATTTGCAGGTGAATTTATTCCCCATTTATAGTTATCCCGCCATTTAGCAAGATAATACCCCAGTTTAGGATGTTTACACCCCTTTTGATTAACCCCATTACAAACATGGACATGAGCTGGCTGCGGACTGGTATCATCGATCGGTTGATCATGAATTTCTGGCAGCATCGTGAACTCCAAAGGCAGGGTTTCCTCTGATGGAAACGGCTCTGGCATGGTGGACACCGTCATGGTAGGGGCTTGGCTCGAGGAAGACTGACCAGCTGTACTTCGTGGCCTATCTGGACATTCGGACTTCCAGTGACCCTTTCTGCCGCAATGCGGCAGTTGGATTCCAAAATCCGTTGTTGCAAGCTTTTGCGACTGCCTTTCAGGCTGGATTTTCCTTTCCCCTTGAACCCCTTTGACTTGCCTTTGAACGAACCACTGCTAGGCCAGAAACCCCGATTCTTGAACCGATCACTCAACCTCTTTCTGGCTTCGGTGTATGCATTGTAGGCTTGGGCTAGCTCTTCATCTTCTTGTATGGTGTCTTGCATTGCTGACTCATACTCACAGACCAGAATTGCATCATCGTCACCCTCAGCAGCTAACTGATCAACGAAGTCCTCTTCGAAGGTTTCCTCGGCTACCAAGACCCGTTCAGATTCTGCTACATCTTCGGCTATGAGAGCATGATTGTCATAGATCTTTCCTTTGACCTTTTTGGCACCGGTCACATCATGGAAAAACCCTGATCCCAGCATTCTCACGGCTGCGTTCACCTTACACATTTCAAGCACTCCCTGGGTGGTGGCTTCTGACTCCAAAATGACACGCTTTTTGTCCTCTGCTGACAGTTGCGATCCTCTGAGAATGGCATATGCCCGCAGTTCCGGCAGAGACACTTTGCTTGCCAAGAGTTCTGTCCACAAGACATCGGCTCTGGCAAGGTAGCTATCATTGCTTTCATCATTTCGCTGCTGACAACGGTAGATGGCTTTCTCAAACGTTTCATACTTCTTCTCAAGTGATATTTTGCCCCATTGACCTCCAAGAATGGTCACAAGGCGTTCAACACCCTTCTGATCTCCGGTCATCATGTCGCTTCGTTGAAGCTGTAGTTTCTGAAACGCAGCTCCACTCGTTCCCAGTATGAGACGTGTGATAAGTTCATTCATCTTCGTTGCAGGCCAAATACTTGAAAGCAGTTCTACCTTCTGAGTATATTGTTCCAAGTCATTGTTGTGCAGGATCAAACTGTGGCACCAGGTTTGTCAACTGCGTAGGCACCTGTGTCTCGGTACCGCCAGAAGATTCCGACATGGCTGTCGGTCAAACCAACTTCTCCCTCAGCTTGACCTAGATCTTTTCAGTCAGTAAGGAACCCCCTGGTTAGGAGGCTCCCGCTACCAATGTGATTGGTTCACAACCAGTAGCCCAAATGCTAAGGATCCACACCCAATCGCAAATGGAAGGCGGCCACACCTTTTCACCACTCAGCTTCTGCTCAATCGGAATCCAAGCAACCAAAGCTTTCCAAATGCCGGCCACGGCAAACGTCTATGGCTCAAGAGGTATTCACCTCCCTCGTTCCACCCAAGCTGACCACAGCAGACACGTCTGCGGAAATGAGTTCACATGTAGTGCACATGGTTGCTTCAAAGGAACATCACAGCAGGAAAGTGTTGGAAATTCACAATATATATATATATATACATATATGTCGTATCGTACATACACATATATATATATATACCCATACAGTATATAGATATACACATAACCATCCTGAAGTAGATAGGATATGTGATTTTCAAAGATATCATTTATCATTATTTGAGTGAGGATTCATTGAAATTCCATATTCTATCCCCTCCACTATGGCTATGTATCTATCCATCTGTTTGTCTGTTTGTCTATCTATCTATGTTGGGATATCCCATGTAGCTCGGGTAGAACCCTGGTCATACATGGCAATGAGGATTAAGCAACAGAAAAATGGTTTCAATGGGATTCAATGGAACAAAACTGGTATGTTGAAACTGAGTGAGATTGAACCCCAAAACTCACTGGGTACACTAAAATAGACACGGAAACCCAGGGGAAACTCCGGAAGGTGGTTTTTCCATATCTACACCGACGTCACCGTAAATGATCAGGGGGAATCGATTCCACATGACCTATCCGGTGAATTTTGATGACATTCGGATTAAAATGTAGCCATTCGCGGATGGCATCAACCGGTTGTTCCATTCACATGTTCATAAGATCCTGCTAGAAAACATGAACACAACCTGCTGGACTGTTGCACAGATCCATAAGAGGGTGAGTCGGCGCAGTGACAGTGGGTCAGCGCGCTTAACAGAGTCTCCAGGCAAAGGTACCCATATTTTGATCCTCAACTATCCAACTTCGTTGCAGAACCCGGCATTTTCAGTGGGAAAGTCTGAGTTTTGGGTTGTGAATCAGCCATTAACCATCATTTGCCGCTCTAAATCAAAACACATGTCAACAGGCAAGTTCGTACTTAGAATTATATATATATATAATTGGGTTTGTCCGAAATGGGGTTCCCCTATATATTCCAATAGATTATTAAATGACAATTTTGGGGTATACCCCGATTTCAGACAAACCCACCTGTCACATTGCTGTTTAGATATCCCAATATATTCCCATGAAATCCTATTAATTCCCACTAAATCCCATTATGTTCCCGTAGATTTCCCATCATATTCTTGTTCTGGTTGGCGAAACCAACCATTTTGATATATTTTCATACCAGGTAACTTACATATATATATATAAATATCCTTCATCATCCATCCCCTGCCACAGATTCGCAGGTCTCGCGTCTCCGCAGCCGCCTGACGACGTCAGGTGCTGCGCGTTGTCAGGCGGAGGATTTGCTGAAGCAGCTGGGACAGGTGCGACTTTTTTTGACCGGGGAGGTTGATTCCCATTGATGAAGGATTGAAATCCCATGAAATACCAGAGGATTTAACCTGATGTAATGGGATTTAATTTGATGTGACTGTATATAAAAATTAAAGGGCTCGAAAAATTAAAGGACCGGATAACCCCACATGTCAACTTCTTCCAACAAGCAGCAAAAGAAAGGTAAAGATGGCATGGGGAAAGCAGGAAATAAAGAAGAGATGGTGAAGGATTGGCGTGTGCAACCAGGTGAATGATTTGCATCCAAATAGAAGGCCAGATAGACAAATGCCACTGAACACACTAATCCAATAACATCAAGTCGCCTCAGACAGCGCCAGCTCTTTCGCAATAACATCCACGCATAGACCGGTATGAGTAAGTTGTGTATGTATGCATGCATGCATGCATGTATGTATGTATGCATGTATGTATGTATGGATGGATGGATGGATGTATGGATGGATGTATGTATGTATGTATGTATGTATGTATGTATGTATGTATGTATGTATGTATGTATGCCATAAGCGCCACGCCTGCCACGCAAAGTAACAATCCATGTCATCAAGTGCCACGCCTGCCACACAAAGTGAAGGTGGATGTCACAAAGTGCCACGCCTGCCACGCAAAACGCCGCGGCGTCAGAGCGCCGCCTGTGAACCAAGCGCGCCACCAGAGCCAACCCAGTGCCATAAGTGCCACGCCTGCCACGCAAAGTAACAATCCATGTCATCAAGTGCCACGCCTGCCACACAAAGTGAAGGTGGATGTCACAAAGTGCCACGTCTGCCACGCAAAACGCCGCGGCGTCAGAGCGCCGCCTGGGAACCAAGCGCGCCACCAGAGCCAACCCAGTGCCATAAGTGCCACGCCTGCCACGCAAAGTAACAATCCATGTCATCAAGTGCCACGCCTGCCACACAAAGTGAAGGTGGATGTCACAAAGTGCCACGCCTGCCACGCAAAACGCCGCGGCGTCAGAGCGCCGCCTGTGAACCAAGCGCGCCACCAGAGCCAACCCAGTGCCATAAGTGCCACGCCTGCCACGCAAAGTAACAATCCATGTCATCAAGTGCCACGCCTGCCACACAAAGTGAAGGTGGATGTCACAAAGTGCGCGCCACCAGAGCCAACCCAGTGCCATAAGTGACAAGTTGTGTGTGAGCAAGTTGTATGTGAGCAAGTGGTGTGATGACAAGTGGTGTGATGAGAAGTGGTGTGTGGACAAGTTGTGTGTGAGCAAGTTGTATGTGAGCAAGTTGTGTCTGTGCAAGTGAGCAAGTGGTGTGATATCGAGTTGTGTGTGAGCAAGTGGTGTGATGAGAAGTGGTGTGTGATGACAAGTTGTGTGTGGACAAGTAGTGTGAAGACAATTGTGTGTGAGCAAGTTGTATGTGAGCAAGTTGTGTGTGTGCAAGTTCTGTGTGAGCAAGTGGTGTGATGACAAGTGGTGTGATGAGAAGTGGTGTGTGATGACAAGTTGTGTGTGGACAAGTAGTGTGAAGACAAGTGGTGTGATGACAAGTGGTGTGATGAGAAGTGGTGTGATGAGAAGTGGTGTGTGCGATGACAAGTTGTGTGTGGACAAGTAGTGTGAAGACAAGTGGTGTGATGAGAAGTGGTGGGAGGAGGCGACGGGAGGGTGTGCGATGACAAGTTGTGTGTGGACAAGTAGTGTGAAGACAAGTGGTGTGATGAGAAGTGGTGGGAGGAGGCGACGGGAGGAGGAGGCGGAGGAGGCGGACGGGATGCAGAACCAAAAACAAGAACCCCACACAAAGATGCGGGGAAAAAGAGAATCAAAAGCCCTGGGTGCCTTCTTGACAGTGGTGTTTCAAAGGTACCATGTGTTCTGAGTGTTGTGCGGGTACGTACCTTTCAAATAAGTCATGTCCAGCCCCGTCTGAGAGTGTAAGCCCTGTAAGCCCCGTCAGACCGAACCGAGAATGCAGGCGCTTTCCGACAAAGGTCGCTTCTGTTAGCGCAGTGAGTGGAATGCTTTCCTTGAGGGCGAGCATGCAAGTGGATGGTAGATGTGCAACAGATGGAAATCAGTACGTGATCTTCCCTCCATAAGAGCCGCAGGCAGAAACATCCCGTTAATGACGTGTGTTTGCAGCATGGCAAAAGCATATTCAAAGTTGTTAAGTTGTTTCTTCTCCCAGGGTTAGTTAGTTCCATGCGGAACAGCTAGAGCCTTTGTGTGGAGTGCTCATCCTTGACTCGTTGATGTGTGGCTTGTGGACGCAGGCACGCTTTTGCAAGGTTGCCATGGCCTCATTTGTCCCCCATATATAGCTTCCGGGTTGCCATGCCTCAGCCTCTCACCACATGCGGTTTTTGCTGACTTGTTGGTTCTGGAAAGAAAAGGGCCCAATACACGGCAAGTCCCTATGCAACTTTACGGATATATTTCCGCAAAGATTAAGCGGATTGATTGTTTCTTAGAATGTGCCAGTTTCATAGGCTGCCAGGCAAACAAGGCACTGGTAGCAGAAACCTCAGCTGTCCAACAAACTGGAAGGGAAAAAACGTGACAGAAAAGCGCGGAATCGAGATCAAAAACAGGCAGGCTCAAGACTTAAGTCTCACCAAGTTTATGCCGATAGCAATGGCATCTTGTGGCCAGGCATGCTGCCAAGACATCTTTTGTCGCTTGAGCCTTTCTTCCTCAAATTGGACACTTGATGGCGTGTCATCTCCTTTTTGGAGCTTTCAATGGTAGACGAACTTGTTTGCTTCTTTGAGCACAATGAAACTTCAAAAGGGAATCAAAAGCATCGGGTGCCTTCTTGACAGTGGTATTTCAAAGGTAGCCGTGTTCTGAGAGTCTGTGCGGGTACCTACCTTACAAATAAGTCATGTCCAGCTCCGTCTGAGAGTGTAAGCCCTGTAAGCCCCGTCAGACCGAACCGAGAATGCAGGCGCTTTCCGACAAGGGTCGCTTCTGTTAGCGCAGTGTGTGGAATGCTTTCCTTGAGGGCGAGCATGCAAGTGAATGGTAGATGTGCAACAGATGGAAATCAGGACGTTATCTTCCTGCCATAAGAGCCGCAGGCAGAAACATCCCGTTAATGACGTGCGTTTGCAGCATGGCAAAAGCAACTTCAAAGTTGTTAAGTTGTTTCTTCTCCCAGGGTTAGTTCCATGCGGAACAGCTAGAGCCTTTGTGTGGAGTGCTCATCCTTGACTCGTTGAAAGGGGCCCAATACACGGCAAGTCCCTATGCAACTTTACGGATATGTTTCCGCAAAGATTAAGCGGATTGATTGTTTCTTAGAATGTGCCAGTTTCATTGGCTGCCAGGCAAACAAGGCACTGGTAGCAGAAACCTCAGCTGTCCAACAAACTGGTAGGGAAAAAGCGTGACAGAAAAGCGCGGAATCGAGATCAAAAACAGGCAGGCTCAAGACTTAAGTCTCACCAAGTCTATGCCGATAGCAATGGCATCTTGTGGCCAGGCATGCTGCCAAGACATCTTTTGTCGCTTGAGCCTTTCTTCCTCAAATTGGACACTTGATGGCGTGTCATCTCGTTTTGGAGCTTTCAATGGTAGACGAACTTGTTTGCTTCAATGAGCACAATGAAACCTCAAAAGAGAATCAAAAGCCCCGGGTGCCTTCTTGACAGTGATATTTCAAAGGTACCATGTGTTCTGAGTCTTGTGCGGGTACCTACCTTACAAATAAGTCATGTCCAGCTCCGTCTGAGAGTGTAAGCCCTGTAAGCCCCGTCAGACCGAGCCGAGAATGCAGGCGCTTTCCGACAAGGGTCGCTTCTGTTAGCGCAGTGTGTGGAATGCTTTCCTTGAGGGCGAGCATGCAAGTGGATGGTAGATGTGCAACAGATGGAAATCAGGACGTGATCTTCCCTCCATAAGAGCCGCAGGCAGAACATCCCGTTAATGACGTGTATTTGCATCATGGCACAAGCAAATTCAAAGTTGTTAAGTTGTTTCTTCTCCCAGGGTTAGTTCCCTGCGGAACAGCTAGAGCCTTTGTGTGGAGTGCTCATCCTTGACTCGTTGATGTGTGAGTTTCACTGCGCTTGATCCCGCTGCGACATGTGACACATATCAAGTGCAACCTGAGCATGCGATGTTGACTGGCAAGTTGCATGCGCAAGCAAGATGGTCAGATTCTGTCAGTGTTTTTCCGATCTCTTTGTCGCCTGCCTTTCTTGTCGGCCAGCAGGTGTGGGGCCTGAAGTGTCTGACAGATCCGAAATCGTGCATCAAACCATGATGAGATAATACAAAATACAGTAAACTATTGCGATACAGTAAGAATACAATGGCGGCTATGCAGTCCCTCAGTACACCATGGTTTCCTGCCAGCCTAAGAGAGTCCAAAGCCTATTGGAAAGCCTCTAAGAGCCGCGGGGGATTCTGTGATCACCATAGTTCGCGGATCTCAACGGCTCAACGTACCGACAGCATTATGGAAAGCCATAATCCCATTAGATTGGGACATCAGGGCTATGGCGGCTATGCAGTCCCAGCTCAGTACACCATGGTGTCCTGCCAGCCTCTAAGAGCCGCGGGGGATTCTGTGATCACCATAGTTCGCGGATCTCAACGGCTCAACGTACCGACAGCATTATGGAAAGCCATAATCCCATTAGATTGGGACAACAGGGCTATGGCGGCTATGCAGTCCCAGCTCAGTACACCATGGTGTCCTGCCAGCCTCTAAGAGCCGCGGGGGATTCTGTGATCACCATAGTTCGCGGATCTCAACGGCCCAACGTACCGACAGCATGATGGAAAGCCATAATCCCATTTTTCACAGCCGCCACAAGCCGTGCTCTAAGTCTTCAACAGATCCAGAGCCTTTCTCAGGTTTTGTTTGCTTCTCACCGGGTGCCGGGTGCAAAGTTTCCGACTTACCAAAGTCGCCTCCAAAGTGCTGAGCCGATGAATGGACAGGAACTTTTGCTCCAAGCTGGTGCAAAAGTTGGTTCGGCGCAACGCAGCAGAGTGTTTGTT